TCTTGTTGTGGTGCTCAAGTATTTTATAAATTCTAGATATAAGTCCCTTATCTGACATGTCATTCCCAAATACTTTTTCCCTTTTTACCCTGTGGAGAAGTTTTTGGATGTGCACAGGGATTTGATTCTTCGAAGGTCCCATTCATCTATTTTATCTTCTCCTGGCTGTAGACGGCCTTCATATTTAAAAGTTCCTTGGGTCTTGCCTGAAATTGTCCAGTTTGGAACCTCCTAGTTGAACAAAATCCAGTACATAGTTAAAGTTCACGGCACATCTAATTGTAGTAAAATTTATAATTTATTTCAAGTGCTGTTTTACCACATGTAACTACTGTTTTAAGTAGCACAAATGCAAATAATTAATGAGAGAAAAGAGAAAATTTACTTTTGTGTTTTTCAAGATTATATCAGTATTATAATGAAATGTGCAAAGAGCTGGAGTCAGAAAATCAAAAGGGCTGAACTCGCTCAGCATTTCTTAAGCTGAAGGAATTGAAATACAAATTCAAGCAACTTGAATGGCAATACTTAAGGATGCTTTGGGCAGAATGTCAAATGATCCAAGAAGCATTAAAAGATGGAAGGAGTACACAGAGTCACTGTACCAGAAGGAATTGGTTGATACAGGAGAACTTAATGAAACAATATATAAGCAAGAACCTGTGGTGATAAAGGAGGAAGTTCAAGCTGCTCTGAAAGGATTGGTAAAAAACAAGGATCCAGGAATTGACAGCACACTAACTGACATATTTCAACAGACAGACACTGCCCTGGATGTGCTCACTAAGTTGTATCAAGAAATCTGGAGGACAGCACCTAGCCAACTGACTGGAAGAGATTGATATTTGTTCCCATTCCAAAGAAGGTTGACCTGACAGAATGCGGAAATTATCGAACAATATTAGTACCACATGTACGCAAGATTCTGCGGGAAATTATCCAAAAATGACTGGAGCAACACGTCAACAAAGAACTGCCAGATGTGCAGGCTGGGTTTAGAAGACGTTATGGTGCTAGGAATATTATAGCTAATGTTAGATGGATCTTGGCTGAAAGCAGAGAGTAACAGAGGAATGTCTATGTTTCACTGACTATGCAAAGGCATTTGACTATGTGGATCACAACAAACTGTGGCTTACTCTGAGAAAAATGGGAATCCCAGAACATTTGATTGTGCTTATGTGAAACCTATACTTAAGAGGTAGTCATCAGAACAGAGGAACGAGACACTGCATGATTCAAAATTGGGAAGGGTGTCCACCAGGAATGTATTCTGTCTCCATACCTTTTCAATCTATATAGAGACAGGTCATCTGGTAGGCTGGGCTGTATGAGGAGG